TACTACCACCACTACTAATAACAATACTACCATGACTACTACAACTGCGACCACTACAACTATAACTACAACTACCACCAATACTACTATTACTACTATTACCACCACTACAACCACCACCACCTCTACTACTACTACTACTACTACTGCTACTAATAATACCACCAATACTACCACTACAACTACTACTACTAATAACAGTATTTGTATAACACCTTTTGAAAACAAAGTTACAAAGAACTTCACAACACAACAAATGATAAACCAAACAAACAAATAAAATCCTAAACTATAAAATATTCAAGTTTTAAATAAACCGCAGTGAGTATTTCTATTCTGCGGTGCTTTATTCGTGTATTTTTACTGCACTCACTGCGCTGATGTTCTCCTGATTCCGTCGGACCCGTTCCAGCTCAGGTGTGTCCATGACGGCGGTACCTCGACCCACTTCCTCCCTGTACTGGACCTGAACAGAACCCCCGTTCACACTTCAAATGTCTACAGGGGAACTTTAGTACTTATTTTTAGATATAAAATATACGTTTAATAAACCCAGATTCTACAGTTTTCAGAGGAAATTTACTGCAAACATTATAACACTGAATAAGTCGTAGAAAAGAAGAAGCCACTCAGTGCAGGGTCACACCTTTCTGTGACTGTAATACTACCACTACTAGTACTACCAGTACTACTACTACTACCACTATTTACTATTACTCCTACTACTTCTACCACAACTACGACTACTCTTACCCTGTGAAAACCGCACTGGTGTAAACGTATGTCGCTGATCTTCTTGGTGACTGCTACTCCTACTACTTCTAGTACTACTACGACTACTCCTACCATGNGTACTTGACCTGGTTGGAGGACAGACGGTACCGAGTACTTTATGGTATCACGTTTTCTGCATGTTTGTTTTATTGTGACATGCAGCTACATGTGGTTCAGAAAATATCATTAGTTAACGTTTTTGTAGCTTTACTATTTATATCACGACTACCACTACTAATACTACTACAACTACTACTACTACAACTACTAC